CTTGTAACCTGGTAGCACTGGCCTCCAACTTGGTACCCTGGCCTCCAACCTACTAGCGACGACCTCCAACTTTCCAGGAGAGGTTGAGAGACTTTATAGGACCCTGTAGTGGTACATATGGGATGGGCTATGGGGCTGTTCAACCTCTCTAGGTTGCTTCTTGCTGTCACTTTGTGCCTATGGTCCACCACCTACTAGCGATGGCCTCCAACCTTAGGTCTTGGCCCCCCAACAGCCTTGCGTTGGCCTCTAACCCAAAAGCGATGGCCTTTAACCTACTATTTTTCCTGGCACCTCAGGCCTTTTAAGAACTTAGGCCGGCGTGGCACCGCTGTCAGTTCCGTATGCATATCTATAAGTGTGTGTGTGTGTGTGTGTGTGTTTGCTTTGGGCAATTTTTCATCCAATTAGAGCTTTTCTGCTTGAAGAAAGGGGCTTGTTCCTCAATGGAGTTTCATTCATCACCCTCTGGAAGATACATTTTTGTAGATCTGTGCTATCGGGTTTCATCATGAGGCCAGTGGCAGAAATCCTTTCCTTCCGAGGTTGCCCAGATGGGTGTGAAATACCAATTCAATACGTGCCCCTTGGCGAAGAAAGGCACGCAAAACAGACTGACGAAAGCAAAAAGAACCTTGAAAGTCTTGAGAATATACAGTAAATTGTGTGACGGATTTGTTGTTGCTACTGCTAAACAGTACCGCGATGGTACCACGCGACTACGACTATGACGACAACGACGACGACGACGACGACGACGACTACTACTACTACTAGTGCTCCTACGAGCCTGAAGCGAGGTTTTGTTTTGGGATCATTTTTTAACTTGCAGCGAAGAGAAGTAGCCGAAGACAGGCAGTACAAAACTGACAGCTGATGCACCAAGTTCTTTGTATGGGGGTCCAAAAATAGGGAGACCTCCCAGTACGACCTCCTGCAAGAAGAAAAATAGGCCCAGACCCAGTGGTTGAGGGTCGGGTCTCCTCTTTAAATTCCATGCCATATAGGGTGTGATCGGCTTTGTGCCGGTTCATAGACCCACACATTGAGCATTAAGAATTTCTTTTCTGGGTAAAAGAACGTGAAACACAACCACTTGGAAACACAGCCCCCAATGGCGGAGCATAGACAAAAAACGATTGCTTGGGAAATTTTCTTCTGAGAGAGATACATTGAAAAACTCAGGAACGATGACTTTTGCGATTGCTCGAGTTGTGCTGACGAAGTGGATTGGACCTGTGGTACTTGTGGAGCTTCCGCCGAGCAGGAGGAAGAGACCGCCGTAGGCACATCTTTGGCCGTGAGTCGTTTGACGTGTTTTGAACCTGGAACACTTCGTGAAATATTCAGAATTCATCAATATGATATTATATATATATTTATGTTATGCTATGTTGTATTATATTATATTATATTGTATCATACTATATTACATAAATCTATATTATATTGTTATATTACTGTCTCAGGTTTGGCAGGCCTAGGGTGGACAGTGGTCATTCTTGAGAGTGATTAGGAAACCTGACACCATTTTGCTGTCTGGTTCTTAAAAATTCCCAGGAGTGACCTGCGGTGAGCCTAGATGCCAGAGCGGGTACGCGAGGGGGATCGCTGTCTTCACTGATCTTCAGGTCCCCACGCCTGCCGCGTGGCTGGATTTCTCGGCGCGCGTCCAGTCCTTGCTCGACTCGGGCAGGCGCGGTGCGGCCTTGGTGCTGTTGTGGGCTTCGGTCGTGGAGATCTTTCATGTTGGATCCCCCTCTGGAGTTACTCCAAGTTTTGCAGATTCGGGGTTTCGCTTTCCATGGTTGGGGACTGGGTACGCCGGGCTGTCCAAACCGGTTCAGAGGGATGCCTACCATGCTCGTCCGAGCGAAGTTCGAACTTCTGGGGCTGCACATGGTTCGGAGCGTGTGCGTGCCTGGCGGGAGCCGGCGCGCGTTGGGTGCCCCCGGGCTGGCCAAGCCGAGCTCATTCAAGCGCCCTGCGTGCTCAGATCCGTCCTCGAATCGACCGAGATTGACGAGCCCTTCATTCCTCCCTACTGTCTCCTCTGTTGTTGTCCCACCTGGTCCGTCTGCTCGAAAGCTGCTGGATCTATGCCTGGGTGGGGCCCAGAAAGGGTTGAGGAGCAGCGTGCGCGACAACTTCGCGACCAATACGGCCTACAACTCGGCGACGATCTGGCCTATGCCTTTGTGAGTCCTTCGAGGACGCAGTGCGCGCTGGTGGCCAATCCCTTGCAGTCCAATGGGTGGAAGCAAGGGCCAACTCCGGATCAATCACTGCTTCACGACGCAGCCAACACCGGGTCTTCTTCTGATCGTCGCCCTTTGAGTCGCCGCGCGAAGGGGTGACCCTTACAGGCGGAGCCTTTGAGCCAGGGAATGTTGTTCGTTGCAAGGACACCTTCCTTCCTGGAGTTAGGCGTGATGAAGCCCCAGATAGGACCCATCGTGAGAAGAAGACGACCCATGCCGAGCCCAGCACCATCCTCAACGCCGAGAAGAGCTGACTGGAGTTGGACAGAGGCGCAGGATGCAGGCCATCGTGGGGGAGCCGCCAATGCTCCCCTTCTTGGAGCAAGCAATATTGCTCGATGCTGGGAATCCTCGAATCCCAATGGACGGCATTGCTGGCCTCCTGGTTGATAGCCGTTGGCGTGACGCGACACCAGCAGCTCTTGAGATCGGAGCCGGTCCGCTTGTCCAAATGAGTACCCTGCAACTGTGGTGCGCCAAGGGGAAGCAACAGGCCAAGCGAGGGTCCGCGCCGGCCTTGTTCGCCAATGGTTTTGGACGGGCAGCTGCAATGCTCAAAGCCAAGAGGGAGCTACCCGCAGAAGCAGCACAAGAGTGGCATAGTGTTCAATGCCATGGGCGCTCCCGGAATGTCAAGCCTGCTGCCATCAGATTTGCAGGGCCATGTCCAAGATGAGAAATTTCCTCACGTCCTACAGCTGGCGACGCTTGGGCCCGACAGTTGGGCAGTTGGTCGGTTTTGACCCCTTAGGCCGATCGTACGCCCATCCCTGACCCCGCGTCCATGCGGGATGTGATCACCCCCTCCGAGATTGCTGAAGCCAAAGAAGCTGTCAAGTCCAAAGACATGGACGCCGAGTGGCAGGGCAAAACCTCGGCTGAGCAAGTGCAGCGAGCATTTCAGTTTAGCCAGTTACGAGGGAGTCTGCGAGAGCCACTCGCGCTTCCGCTGCAGCAGCAGGGATATCCTCGATGCCGGCCTCCATCAACAACAAGTTGCTGACCAAGTTCATGAGGAATGGCCAGCCCCTTTGCGCTTGCAGCTCATCGCTGTGGGTTGGCGACCAAGAAAGATCGAGTTTGCGAAGCTTCAGCCATGGTGCGAGCCAGCGCCGCAGCACGAGCGCTGAGGAGGCTTCGGCCCCCCCCTCGGGCACTGAGGAGTTTGTCCACAGGCCGTCTGACTCTCCACTCATGGTGGACCTCATGGCAGGACCGAACGCTACCTTGAGTATAAGGCCTTCATTCCTTCATCTTTTGCGTGGCGAACCATCACGGTGGACTGGCTCATTGACCCATCCCATGATCTGCTTCATCCCCTTTGTCAGGAATGTCTTCACGCTCAACTCCAAGAGGCAACGTTTCTCTTTGCAGCTTGGATTGCAGTACCAAGTCCCGTGCTCGGGAGATACCCGTTACACCAGGCCCCTCCATTGAGGTTCAAGACGTACCCAGCAGGGCTTCCAACTTTGTCCATCAGAAAGCTCGGGTGGAAACCGACAACAGAGCTTGCCACTCGGATCCACGCCTTGCCTCAATGAGGCGGAGGATTGATCCGCGAGAGCCCTGTACCCAAGAAAAAGGCGATGATGGAGTCCGGCGAGTGGCGGGATACCACACGCAGCCTGTTGTTTTGCAGGGGCTCGTGCCAAACATCAACGCCTTCGCCACAACATTGAGGAGATCAGCAGTTGGCCGCCGTTGAGGTGCAACCATTTGCACTCAGCCGACGAACGGGCCCCTTCAAGCTCGACGGCGCCAAGATCTACCCAAGCAAGGAAGAGGCCGTCTCAGTGTCCGACTGGGCGGCACGCACGGGCCATGCGAAACTGAAGCTGTGGGCAGACTCCCCCCAGTGGCTTGGGTCTAACACCGCCTGATTCCCGAGAACGATCTCGAGTGGGCGTGGTCGCCCATCGGCATCGGCTGCCTGCCCACCATAAGTGGTCACCGCCGTTCACACCAGGTGTGGACTGCTCTGTGGACGATTGGTTGGCCTACTATGTTATTCACATTCGGACTACGCTTTGGTCAAGCTTATAGGCGAGCTGCAGTGTGTGCTGGTGAGTGACACCGGCGCAGGCCCCCTATGCCCAGCGACCGCGGTAGGTGGGTTGGTGTTCTATACTTGTCTCCTGTCAGCCATCGCGCCATCACAAAGCGGGCCACCAAGCTGCTGAGAGTGGTCTGTCAACGCCCTGGCCCCCACACAGCTCTTTCCTCAGGACAGTGTGACTTTGGCGTTTCGCAAGCTGTTCCCGTGGAGTGATTCGAAAACTTCCAGTTCCCAGTGATTGAGGACTTAGTCAACACCTTTCCTTTTGACACCTGCGCTCGTTGGCGCTTTAGCAAGAATATGGAATGGGACGGCTTCCGTCAGTCCTTGCAACTCGGGCACGTACCTTTGCCGACCGAGCGGTTGCCGCTGTTGGATGATGACCTCTGGTTTTGCGCCGAACGGCATTGGACGGTGGAGTTCGGTCACCGATAGGCTGCGCAGCCTGCAAGCTCCATCCATTCGTCGAGTGCGAATCGGGACCTAGGACTGACCTCCCTCCTGATCATGCTGATGTCGTGGGCCGATACCAGTTATCCCTATGGGTTGATTCGTGGCATGCCGGCCAGGTCCATTACCATGGATGAGGTGCTTGACGGATGGCAATCGCACAATTTCGCCATCATGGAGCAACTCAAACCAGGGCTACATGACGAAGTCCTCCTTGAGCAGAGCGAAGCTGATGGATCTCAGCGCTTCCGTACGGAGCCTATGACTCATTCACAACTTCTTCGTCGTCTTCAAGGTGAGCCGCGCAGATGGATCCCACGTTGCATCATCGTCCAGCGGGAAGAAACGCATCATCGACAATGGCGACACCGGCGACACCGGTGGTCAGTCAGAGCGCTCGTCCGATTTCAACAAGCTTAGCCTCTGTTGTCCGTTCCGTCCGGCCCAACACATTGCAGCAGTGGCATCCTGCGTTCCCGAGGTCGGGTCATCTCGCTTGGAGTGGGACTCCTTCGAGAGTGGCGGGGAGGACTGGCCGAATGCCTACAGCGGCGCCCCAATATCCTACGAGGAATCGTTGGGACGCGTGGTGACTTTCTGGCACCATCTTTGGCAGCAACCAGCTTTCCAAATCTACCACTCCTTCTTGTTTGGGCTGCCGCCCGTCGCCGTGACGAGTTTCAACAGGTACAGCAGGTTGGCCGAGGCCCTGGGTCGACGTCTCTGCCTGTGTCTGACCTCGCTGTACTTTGACGATGCCAACATCATCGACTGGAAGTCGCCCAAAGGATCGGGCCAAGCCGCTCAACCAACTCAACGCCCTCATTGGTACTCCATTTGCCTCAGAGAAACGTCAGCCAATGGAAGCCACGGGCCTATTTTTAGGTCTCAATCGCGATCTTCGTTCCGTTCAGTGGTTCGCTTTTGGCCTCGTGAGCGGCTCCTTGAGAAAATGGAATCCTTTATCCGAGATGCCCTGACCAGCGGTTCTACAGCCAGCAAGATCTACGGTATGATGAACTTCCTTGAGCAGGCCATTTATGGCAGGAGCCGGTGCAGTGGCCTTCAAGCCATCAAAGCTCGCCAGCAAGAGACACCCCGCGATCTCTCACCTGCCACCCGTGAAAGTTACGGTTCTCCAACTTCGTCCTGAACGGGTGATGGAAGTGATCCATCCCTCAGTTCAAAGGTTTGTGGTTGCGTCAGATGCTGCGTTAGAAGTACCATTTCAAGGTACAGGTGGATTTTTGATCATATGGTTCAATGGTCATGAAGAATGTCGCGAAGCCTTCGTTTCTCATATGCCTAGGTCTTTGTACAGCTTGTTTACCCCAGGAGCGCAACTGGAGCTCATCCAGTTCATTTTTGCACTGACAGCACGTCCCCACCTCTTCCGTAGCAGGTGAGGTGTGTGGTTTTTGGACAACAGTGCAGCCTTGATGGCGTTAACCCGAGGCCGCTCGGATGCCGATGACCTAGAGCGGATGCCACTAATTGTGCATATATAGCTCTTTGGTCTCCAATGCTGGATGTTTGAGTGGATCCCATCCAAGAGTAATTGGGCTGACGCTATCAGCCGTCTTGGGTTCCAGGATCCCTAGCACGGCTTTTCTCAATCAAAGGCCTTTTTCTCGACCATTTTGTGGCAACTGCCAGTTTCCGGTCTTGTTCGCGTGGCGGAATTCTTGTAAGTGCGTTGGGTGATTCAAGTGCTGTGGGTGATATCTGGAGCCACCAGATGAGGCCCGGCCAGGAGTGACCTGGCACGGAAGCAACTGGCAGGGAAGTGATCCTGCCTACCCAACGCAAATAGCTTGTACGCTATACAAGCTTCGGAC